GTATAGTTTATTGGTGTAAAGCAGCACTCACAGCAACTGAACGGCCTTGTGACGTTTGTCCCAGTCACATAAATGACAATCTGACATTTCCACCAAGATATTGTTAGCAAAATTCAAACAAAAGACGTGAAAACGAGATAAAACCTACCTAATAATTAGTACTGTTTTATTCTTTTTTTATTGGTTTGCGGGTGTAAGGTTCGTGCATAGTACCGGCGGCATATCTAGTCTTCTTCTGTGAAAACATACAACACAGATGGGCTTAGAAAGCATGAAAGAAGACAAAAAGTCAAAAGCAAATGAGAAATCAGCGGGGAATTCACACGCGACCACGCCAGTGCCTATAAAGATAAAGTGTATAAGAAAAGACAGGAACAAAAAAATCGCCGCCATCTTACCATGTCATCACTTAATTTCTTTTACTTAGGGTACAGGAAATGGAACCTAAGCTAACAATGCCTAACGCAGCAAGATGTTATCTGTGCATTTGACATAGGCATTTTTTAGAAACTATAATTATTTGATATTTGTATACATGAACACCTCGCATTTCTTTTCTCCCCCATTCTGAAGTTGTACTTCCATTGAGTTTTGAATAGTGGACAGCCCAAGTCAAAACTTGAGTCCACATTTTCAGAATTGTAACGAGTAAGCAAACCCATTGCCCCAATATAAAGAATCAAGAAATGCAAAGTAATGCGCTTAGAAGTCCCAAGAAAAATAGAATACATAGAACAGAACCATAGATTTTTTCTTATTCAGGAAGATAAATCAAAAACTTGAGAAAAGAAAAATTAAACAATGCGAAAATAATAAAGTAATTAACCGTTTTCCCTTATCAAAAATAATGAAATTAAGCAAGAAAACTGAAGATTTAAAAAACAAATCTTACCCTAAAGTGCTTGAAGATTGGCATCAGGGCTTCTTCCCTGTACTGCATTCCTCATACCAAGGAATGCAGGAACGAAGCAAAGTAGTATAAGTAATGGCATCAAAAAATCATAAGCTCAAAGTACAAAGCTGCAAGTCCAAGCTCTTGCAAGTTTTGAAACTCTATTTCCGTAGAAATTCAGGCCCTGAAATAAAATGAAAAAACACGAAGCTTTCTCTAAATGGGTCCTTTTTTGTTAATTCCTTTCTTTCTCCAACAATTTTAAAAAAAACAAAAAAAGAAAACTTTCAAGAAAGTTCATTAAAACCTTATGCATTACAAGGCAATCTAAATTCCAGTTAATTCCCCATTTTTCAACTAAAACCAATCAGCAAATTTTTCTGAATTAAATATGAGCAAAAGTTTTATTTTTTAAACCTTCGTTGCTCCAAAAATCCTTGGCTTATGCTCACTCTATCCAAATAGCATATATTCAAATAAGCATATCAATAAAAATAAAACAGAGTTTAAAGATTATATATTAATATAAACAGAGAAATTAAGAGAAAAAAAAAAAAAAAAGAAAAGAAAAATGCACCTGTTGAAATGTGATTGCGGGTCTTCAGGTAAATTTTTCTCCTGTAGCCCTTTGATGAGAGAGCATTGACGAAAAAGAGTTCGATTTGGGTTATCGTAATGAGCTGGTTTCCAATATGCCCGCATTATTTACGAACTACAAATAGTACTAAATTAGAGGCAGAATGAGGCAGTGAAAATTTGTTTAAACTTCTTGAGGTTTTTAGAGCTAGAAGAGCAGCTGGGTATAACACTACAAGTACTCCATTTGAAGTTGAAGGCAGTGGGCAGTAACTGGCCGCATCTTCTTCTTACGTCCTGGGGCAACGCGTATTCAATTATTGAAACAAAATGATTTACTTTCCTTTTCAGGTCTCGGTTAGCATTCCATTTACCGCATTATCATAATCATCAAAAGTTCACTTTTAGTACCCCAAATTGCCCCTTTTTTCCTCTTTTCCTTTCAATTTTCATCCTTTCAAGTTTTCACCCTCTACTTTTTATTTTTAATCTTTTGTTTCTTAAGCCTGCCAGGTGGAGGGTGTAAAAAATCAATTAGTGAAGCTGATGTACATAAAGTCGGTATTAATTGGACTATAAAAACATAATGTTGATAATAATTTCAAGTGGATAAATTTAAAGATTAGGTAATCATAAAAAATGATACTTTATCCCACAGAAAAAATAAATATAAATTGACAGAGGGCAGCATAGACATTAAAATTTTAATTTTAATTTTTCAAAAATGGGAAAAAAGGCCAGTATATTTTGACAAATTAAAGAAAATAAAATAATAGTTTTCTCAACTATTTAAATTTAACTTGAGGTTGATTGAGACGTGCAAGTTCAATAATTGAACCATTGGGCGGAAATCTTAATATTATGATATTTGGCATGAAATAATGAAATATTTAACTTTACAAAATTTTAAACCTATATCTTTTCAAAACATAAAATAATTCTTTAATTTGAGAAAATATAAAATTCAAGTCGCAACGAACTTGAAAAATTTATAGTAATTTAAACCTGGAAACATATATTATATATATTATATATATATATATATATATATATAATATATATATTATCAACCATATTCTTTCAAATTTGTAGAAAGCATACAAAGAAACATGAAGGCTGACAGATGAAATTGGAAAGGAACAAACATACAAATACAATTCTTCTTCTTCTTCTTGTTCTTATTCTAGTTTAAAGGAATTAACATGAACAAAATTTTATTGATAATGAAAACATACAACAAATTAAGATATATACATATATATATATATATATATATAACTCTTCAAATAATGCAATTTAGACTCTTCACCTGCATGCATAAACACCCAAACAATGATATTACTTGGATATATAGGACATTAATGAAATTCTGCTGATTAGAGTTGTGGAGGTCTTACATTTTAATCAAGCTCGGCGTCTGATTGGCCTTGGCTGTTGAGACTGAGGGGGTGGATATGGATCCAAACGAGGTGCTGGCCTTAAAGTACAGTGGCGGTGTACATCCACTCCGCATGAGTCACACCTATATCTCCAACTAGTACATAAGCCGCCTCAAGCAAAACACCGTGTACTAAGCTGCATCTTCTTCAGCTTTAACCTGCATGATGGATGTTCTGGGTGGCCGGCGTATTCAGGCCACCGCGGAACGCAAAGTGGATGCGCTAAAAATTGACATGAAAATGAATGTGCAACGCACTTGTAGTAGAGTCCGTGAATCGTTTGGGAGCAGACAGTGCAGGACGGTGACGGGACCCCGCCGATACGGAACTGTAACGAGTTTGGACGGTGCATGAAAAGCTTAAGCTGATGATTTGAGCCTCTCGGGTGTTTGTAGGATTCGATCGGAGTGGGACCTAGAGCACACTTTGGATGGAGAGAAACTGCTGCGCATCCTCTGCTACACTTGTATCTTGTGCCGCTTCCTGTAAAATTGCAACCACTGCAGGTGAAGGTTCCGCTTCCGTGGGCTTTAGATAAAATGTGGCTGTGTACAAGCCTCTGTTCGGTCGTCAATGGCAACGAATCCATTTTTAAATCGATCGATTTATTTTTTCCGATGATGACGATGATGCTAGTGCTTGCAGGGATAAGTATAATTTATAGGCATAACTTGCAAAATTAAGTCTACATTGGGTCTTTCTTTATGTAGTATATCCTACTTGGCCTAGGTTCCACGGTTGACGCATCTGCCTTGCCTGGAGCAAATTATAATATTAAAGATATTCAACTACTGTACTAAAATTTATTTATTATAATATTTTTAAATTTTAACAAATTTTACTAATTTCAATCAATTTTAATTTATATTATTATTTAGGGACTTGGCCTGGTCACGCGGGCTTGAACCGCATCCTGCCTTTTGCCTGTGAGCAAGATCTACATAAAATATGTAAAAAGATATGTCAAGCCTACTTGTTACTAAACAGTTTTGATTTTTATTTATAATATTTTAATTATTAAAAACAAAATTTTACTAATTAAAAAAATCAAATTTTTTAAATTTATAGTTTATTATTTTTTAAATAAAGATTAATCATTTATATTATACAATATATAATAAATAACTTTGTTCAAGCAAACGTCCAGTAAAACCTTCTTCGATAGGCGGAATAGAGAACACACAGGAAAAAAAAATTGCATATACATGAAACTAAACCTCAAAAGATCAGTTTATTGTTAAACGCTACCTGGAGGGAATTTGCTTTATGCAAAAACTACCAAAAATCAGTTTGGTTAATACACCAGCTTTGAAACAAGTCTAAAACAAATATATTATTATTTTTAATAAAATTAATCAATTTATATATACATATATTAAACTTTTGTTCAAGCAAACGTCCAGTAAACTTCTTCGATGCGAATAGAAACACACAGGAAAAAAAAAATTGCATATCATCCAAAAATCAGTTTGTTAAACGCTACCTGGAATTTGCTTACAAAACTACAAAAATCAGTTTGTTAAACACCAGCTTGAACAAGTCTAAAACAAATATTGTATGTATAATTATATATATATATATATAAATTAGATAAGACTCCAAGAGTTTTCAAACTGAACATCAAAAGCGAAACCCGAGTCAAAATTTTTTAATCATTCTCACAAAATCACTTCGTTAGTTTTTTAGCAAATTAAAATAAGAAACAAAAATTGAATTTTCCTTGAGAATCACTTGGTTTTTCCTTTTTTCAAATAAGGAAAAATAGTTTTCTACTATCATATTGTTTCAACTCTTTTACAAAAAGAAGACTTAGTCCGACTGGCAAGGTGGTGAGTTCTAAACGTACCAAACCGATACGAGGCAGTGCGCTCTTAAAATTATCCTTGTAGTAAACCTAATTTCAATGTGTGAAAATTGTGTCAAAACAAAAATTATATAAATCAAAATAGGGTTCAAAGAAAATAATGAGAACTATACTCTTGCAAACCTTCCTTTTTTAATTCCTTTCATTGGTTAGGTAAAATTAACATGATATACATAATTTATATCTGAAAATCAACGGCTCCTAAAAATAGAAATATTGACAATTTATATCTAGATAATAAATAACGATTGTATTAGTTTAACTGTTGCCATCAGGAAGCTAAGCAGTGCCAAAAATCTACTTGATTCAACAAGCGATCCCAAAACAAAATTGGAGAAAAGTCTAACCATTATATGTAACATCAAATACTCAAACAACATTCAAAATGGATTGAGACAATTCCAGGGAATAAAATCAAGCAGAACTTGCAAAATAAGCAGTCCAACATCAACACTTTCAGATTCTGATTGAATAGGTCAAAACTCCTACTTCTTGTCTTCTTTCTCAGCCTCTGCTGCCTTCTTCAATCTAGCACCAATGTGTCTCTCATTCATCCGCTCCACACGCAGCTTGTCATATGCCTTGAAAGATTTCATCTCCTCCGTGACCTTAACAAGATCCACGGATGGTTTCTCACGCACAATAGGCATGTATTGTCCTTGTACTTGGGTTGCTGTTGCCAACTCCTCAGGAGCAGAATCCCCAGCCTAAGACAACATTATTATTTTTGAGATTTCGAGCATGCAGATATGTGTACCTAACAACTGAACATCAGCTGATTAAAGTTACCTTGAACTTGCGAGCACGTCTCGGGAAGACAACCAATTTGGCCTTGTAGGTCTTCAGCCTCTGAATATTGGTTTGTAGGCCCTCCAATGAACGGTTCTTTCTCCGATGGTCAACAGCTATTCCAATTGTAGGGGCTAGTTTCTTTGGAATACCAGCAGCCTGATAGGTGAAAAGGATGTAATATGGCGATAAGTACTAGCAACAAAAATCAAGTGAACAGATAAATAGACTTGTATCAATTACAACAGTTTAACGGAGTAAATTGAGATTCGTGCTTAAACTAATACCAGAAAAATGCAAATAAAAACATGCATTCAAAAATATCCACTTTTTAGCTACTTGTAATTCAAACCATAAAAATATTAGAAAAGTCGATTATACAATTCTGCCTAAAGCTGACATCTTAAATTTAATGTTTCATGCAGGTCAACCAATTACTAAAGCCATGACACAATGTTTATAATTAAGATATTTGACAAAGAGAACCATCGTACCTTAAGTTCTTCAAGGGTGAATCCTCTACCAGCCCTCACTTTCATATTATACTTCAAAGTCTGTCCATGGACAATCGGACGAAGAGGCCCAGCGGTTGGTCGAGGAAAGATCTTCACAGCTTTCTGTTGGCGAGCTGATAACCGTTTCACAAATCACACATAAAGAGTCAGCCAAGATCATGCCAACCAAACATTAATCTCAGTTTCAATTGGTCTGATTGTCATACAAATGTACATATGAAATGTAAACTAAAAGTAGATCCTAACTCTAAATATCACAAAGAAACACAAAAAAAGAAAGCTACCCACCAACTCGTCTCCTAGTCTTGCGAGCAGGTTGGTTAAACCATGTCTTGACATAGTTCTGCCAGTGCTTTTTAAAGTGCCCATTAGGCACAACATTGTTATGCTTCATCACTCACCTGGAAAAAGAACCTACATAAAAAATGACAAGCTAAATAAATTTATTTCCAGAAATGACAAACATTAAACCTGAGTTATAATCCGAAGATTATTATTTATCTATGCATATTCTGTTGATGGTTGCAAAGCCATGAGTCATCAATTTCAGTCAATTGAAATATGTAAGAAAAAAACTAATGAACAGAACCTCTGATCTTAGAGCATCACTATTTCCAACAAACAAACAAACAAAGGTTAAACCCTAGAAATCGACTGCATAACTCCTAATACCTACAAGACGACTAAAACAATTTTTTCTTTCGTTTTCGTTTTCTTTTCTTTGGATTCGACATTTTTTTTCGGTTAATAAGCAAAGAGAAGGAGAAGAAAGTGAGGAAAACTTACAGTCAAGGAACTTCTCTCCCTCGTTCAGCTGGAAGCGGCTTGCGATAGAGTTCGCTTTGTAGCTTTGTACAGAGATTTAAAAGAACCGCAAAACAAAACCCTAGATTATTGGTTCTTTTGGGTCGGGTCGGACTGGCTTAATCGGACCTGGATCTTACTAGGCTACTCTAACCCAATGGTTTCTACTTTATCTTGGGCCTCTATGTGGCCTGTAAGCAGGGCCTAAGTAGTTTGATTGGAAATTTGCCATGCCCCTATTTTTTAACATTTGAAATTTTCATTTGTTAAAGTATAAAATTACTTTTAAATGATACAAGAATTTGGTTTAGTTCCACGTTAATTCTATAAATTTTAATTTTTTTTTCTGATTAGTTACATTAATTTTGTTTAGAGTTGCATTCGATAAAAGTCATATATACAGTTTGAAAATAATTTTTCATATCTCTCAATATTCATCCTATATTATATGGCCGAAAAACATAAATTACTGGTAATCTCCGATTAACCGTACGGCTGTGAATTCGTTCCTGAGCTTTGTACAGAACGCCGGTCACAACATGGGAGCTGACCATGCCCAGGAAATGACACATTATATTAAAAATGAAATTAATATATATTAAACATGATATTAAAGATTTTGAAAGAGTTCTTTTGAATATTATCCAAGCAACTTATTTGTTTCCTTTTTCTGGGATCAAATCCAAATAAAAAATATTTTTTTAAAAAAATATTTCTTCAGACTAATAACATTTCTTCACTGCTTCAACTTGTTGATCTGCAGACTAATAACATTTCTTCTCCACCTAAGTGCAGAGTATAAAAGTAAACTAATGAGAGAAATTTGATAAACCCAAAAGAAATTTAATTAAACTGTGTTGTTTATGCTTTCCATCTTACATCTTACAATGGCCCTTTACTCAGAGTATTGTAACCCAAATGAGTTCTACACAGTCCACCCAAAGAAGCCTTTGTTCTACTGGTATCACAGCATATGTAACAAGATGTGCAAATGGCCAAAGTTTCCACCCTGCCTGCACAACAGACCACATCAAAGAAGGCCAAATTAAGTTGAATTGTAAGGAAAAGTGAACAAAAGGAAAATTTTCAAATAATCCAAATGATAAACAAAATCTCAGATCAAGCAACTAATTAGTGTCAAATGAACAAAAGGAAAATTTTCCCTCTTTTCCCTAAACCTGACCATTTTTAACAGAAAACCAGCTAATGGATAACAGTATTCCAAGAGCTCATTAAGGTAAAACTAAACATTCTCTAGAAGGAAAAAAAACAGTTCCATGCCTAATTAGAATCTAGATTAGAATTACTTTATCAAATATTTATATCCAATAAAGTAAAAATAAAACTGCAAAAAACTGATAATTGAAATGATGCACATGAAACAGCTAACATTAAATCCACCACCACATACAAGGAATGTTTTAACACAAAAAATCTTCTTTTAAGAATAAAGTTCATAAAACAGTGGTGTGTAAGAAGATTGGACGCGTTAGCAGGTGAGTAAGAAGCAGTGGCTGCCGCCATTGGCTTAGTTTGCAGAGGTGGTCACAAACTGAGATATTGAAGACTAAAAGCCTTCTCTCAGTTTCATATCAAAACACTTACAAGAAATCCATTAATTAGCTGCAGAGACAATGATAAGGAAGAAAGAAAAACGCACATATCAAGCAGATAAAACTATATACTGTAATGGTTATTCATCCATATCATGTGGAAGGAAAAATAAGAAATGGAATGAATTTTTATTGGAAACTTCTCTCTTTCTTTTCTCATGAAAAGCTTAACAGCTGAATTTTACTAAGTTTACACTTTACCCAATATGCATTAAGCACAAAGTTTACCTATTGACTAACTTGATAACATATTGTGTGTTTATGAAAACATCACATTCGACAAATCATGCCATGATCATGTGGAAGGAGAAAATAAGAAGATGGAATGAATTTTTTTATTGGAAAACTTCCTCTGTCTTTCTTTTCTCCATGAAAAGCTTTAAACAGCTGAATTTTACTAAAGTTTACACTTTACGCCAATATGCATATAAGCGACAAAAGTTTACCTATTGACGTAACTTGATAACAGTAGTTGTGTGTTTTGATGAACATCACATTCGACAAATAGGGTGCAGAAACATTTACACTTTACCCAATATGCATTAAGCACAAAGTTTACCTATTGACTAACTTGATAACATATTGTGTGTTTATGAAAACATCACATTCGACAAATAGGGTGCAAAACAAAAGCATGAAAAAACGGTGGAGGAACCAACATGGGATAAATCTTCGGCCGACAGTAGCGCGTAAATGAAGGATACACCACTCTTGGACGTACTGATTTGCGAATTTGGTTGCCAATGCCATACAATAACCCCACATGTCTCGATTCATCAATTCCATAAACTGTCTTCAACTTAGAAAATACTGTTGCACTTAATAAACTATCAGATCCTGCTTGATGAGCGCCACCAACTCGTTTAACTCTAAGTATCTTTGCTAACTTCTCTAATCCCAACTCGCCTTTGCATAAACCATCGCAGAATGTCGCAATATACTTGATATCAAAAACATAGCCACCAAACACATTTGCAATCAACTCAGTAAACTCAAGAGAAGAATGAGGCAGTGAGTTTTTGGTAACCATTGTAAGCATGTGAGCCATATCATACAATCCATGGAAAGTAATCCATTTCAAATTTCTATGTTTGGCTAAAAGATGACCAAAAGCATCAGAAAAGAAACGAATATCGATTCCCTCGTTCTTCAACTTGTCGAAATCAATACCATGGTCTTTCAGAAATTCCAAAGCATCATCCGTACATACCTCTGTTTGAGCATCAAAAGAGAAGTTGAATTCCCAGCAACCGGCGATATTGCCGTTCTCGTCAGATAAGGTGAGGCCCAATTGAATAAGTGTTGTTGCGTCCACATTATTCTTCAAATTAGAGTAGGTTAGAAATTCATTGGCATGTCTTGGAGTATCGATGAGAAAGCCTGGAAATTCAGTGTCCACAGAAACAACTCTATGGAAATGAAGAAGGGAGTCGATACATTTCAGTTCGTCAAAGAAATTGTATCGCCAAACAGGGATGATGGGATTCATGGCGGCGGCAGAAAACATGTGGTTCAATTGAATATAGAATGTTATTTTATAGACACACTCATCTTTCCTTACTCTACTTGGAATCCAAACCTGATGTTACTTGGATTTCCATATAGAAGAAGGATTATAAGTGATAAATCTATATGAACTTACGCATGATACTACACTGTAGAAAATCCAGTATGCGCTGCTCTTCGCGCGAGCGAGGGATTGGACGCGTGAGCAGCCGAGTAAGGAGCTGTGGCTGCCGCCATTGGCGTAGTCTGCGGAGGTGGTCCCACAGCTGAGGTATCGAAGACTTAAAGCCTTCTCTCACTTTATATCAAAGAAAAAAAATATTAAAAAAAATCCCTATTTTAATTTTAGTTTTGTATTGGATCAAATGACAAATTATTCTATTTTTAATAAAAAAAATAATTCTTCTAATAAAATAACCATAATTATTTTATTTTGAAAAAATTTTATTGTTTAGATTGAAATTAAAAGCCAAAGTCTTTGTCCCCTAAATTGATTAAATAATATAAAGACATAAAATAATAAATATTTATGTATATTTTGTACTTATTTTGCTAATTTTATATCTTGACAGATTATTTTTAATAGTCAATTTTTTAGTTATAATACGATTAAATTTTATAACCCTAATTTATGCAATTAAAATTTTTATTTGTAAATCAATTGAAAAATCTCAAACCTCAAACGTTAAACATTAGAATCTAAACTTTAACCAATTTCATTTCAATTTAAATATACACATATTTTAAAATATACATGCATATAAATATATTTGGATATATCAATTCAAATATGAATCAACTAAAAATTTAATATTTATGATTATAATATAATAATATAATTATAATTTTACAGGTTTGCTGTTATTGTTGAAAAGAACAAAATGTTATTTATATCAGGTTTGTAGATAGAGATAGTTATTCGTTGATTTTTTTGCTATTCATTTTTATCTCACCTTGTGATGTTTATCAAATCGTCTAAATTAATCCAAACTGATCTAAAATCGCTGTTTTAAAAAATTGATGATTTGACTGTTATTATGTGATAACGAGGAGCGTTGGATTTAAATTTTCTCAACTACAGAAATTTTTATCAATTTGGGTGAACCAGAAAACAAAACCCTAGATTATTGGTTCCTTTCGGGTCGGGTTGCATTGGCTTATTCGGACCTGGATCTTACTAGGCTACTCTAACGGAATGGTTTCTACTTTATCTTGGGCCTCTACATGTGTTTTAAGCAGGGCCTAAGTGGTTTGTTTGGAAATTTGCCCGGGCAACTATTTTTCATACATTTGAAATTTACTTTTGTTTAGTATATATTAATTTAAAATATAAAATTATTTTTAAATGATGAAAGAATTTGGTTTAGTTAGACGTTAAATTCTATAAAACTTTTATTTTTTTTCTGATTTGTTGAAAGAAAACACGCAAGGCTTCTATATTGGATCTCATAGATACAATATAAAATTCTAGTAATCGCGATTAACCATATTGCAACGCCCGTCACACCGGGGGAGCTGCCCATGCCTAGGACGACACATTATATAAAAAATGATATATATATACATTAAACATGATATTAAAGGTTTTCAAAGAGTTCTTTTGAATCTTATCCAAGCAACTTATTTTATTTTCTTTTTTCTTTATCATGATTTATGAATGGGATCAAATCCAAATAAACAATAGTTTGTGTTTCTAAGAAAAATCAGTAGTTTTACTTGTTTACATTTGTATATAAACTGATTAGTACTACAAC